AATTCAGTGACTCTCTTCTGCCGACAGACAGACCGGCCTTCAGTTGCGCCGACGGGTCACTAGCGCTGCCCAAAGAGGGCTTCACTTTGCCCTCAAAGTGCTGGCAATGGGAGACGGACTGGTATATCGAGACCAACATCGAGGGCGAGCCCCTGGAGCCCGAGGGCTGGTCCTATGCCATTGATTTCCCCATGAAGTATGGGACAGAGAGGCGCTGGAATTCACTGGTCAGACGGCGCCGTTGGCTCAGGTTTCGCAGGTCTCTCACACCTATTAGTTGTGTTTTATCGTAATATACTTATTGTTATAATATGTTCACAACTGAAGGTATGTTTGTGTCAACGAATGGGCACTCGTCGAGTCAATTCATGGAGACTTTGTGGCCGAACCCTTCATTGACATATCGACGGGTGGGTACGATATGCCCGGCTCTCAGAAGGATGTGTTAGCTGTTTGGGCGGTCACTGTCATTGGAAGAGTGATTTACAGGACAGGGATCGACAAGTTTTCTCCGGAAGGTATTTCATGGGTTATCGTTGAGGTGCCCGTCGGTTGGGAAGTGAATCAAATATCTTGCGGACCGACTGGACTGGTTTGGACGGTCGCGTGGGACGGGTCGGCATTAGTGCGGACGGGAATAAATAGAGANGGAAAGGTATGGTTTAGAAAAGGCATTCGAGGCCTCAATTCGGGTCATAATGACAACTGTGCCGTCGGTTTGGGTTGGGTTGAGATGTTTCAAGAAATGTCTTTATTATCCGTTACTTCTAATGATCAGGTATTCAGAGATTAATTTTATTATTATAACAGTTATTTATAGGATTTTATTATTTAAAGGTATGGGCTCTGAGTCCCGATAAGAAATGTCTTTATTTCCGAACCGGTATTACTTTTGGAGAATTAACCGGAAAGACATGGAAATTAATTTCTCGACAACCGATAAACACTTTCAACCAAAAGAGCAATAATAAAAATATTGAACAACAATTGGATTCAATTAGCATTTCCTCTCAAGACTCATGTTTTTCACCCAATAATACCGATTGCCAGACCCAGGCCTGGATCTGGATATCAGCCTCCAGTTGTGCACTCAATTCCGATTCATATCTTCAATTCTCTTATGCATCGCACGACTCACAGACATCACTCGACATTTCTTTGGGATCAAGTCTTGGAAAAGAGCAAAGTATTTGTTCAGAGGAATGCGAGTGGAGATCAAATATTTTGATGCAATTGAATAAAAGGTTTGATTTTTTTATATAATATTTAGAGTGTATATGAAGTTTTAATTTAAACTATTTTATCTAAATAGATATGAAATAGAAATGAAGGACTTTATGTCAGTTTATCAAAAGGCTATTGAATCGGGTGTTTGGATAAAGTCGGGCACATGTTTTGTGGCCAAAAGTGACAAAACAGTGACCAATTGGTGTCCCGGTCTGCTTGAACTCGAGAGACAAGGTGTTGAGAGAACCACTGAAAGCGGAAGTCTCACCATATCTTACTCTAATTCATCTCAAAAGATAAAAGTGAACAAAAAAGTGCTAAATTTGGCCGAAATTAGCTGTGCTTTCATTGGCTCGTCCGAGAACTCTATGTACTCTATAAGCAATTGTTTAGTGATTATTGCAAACAATTTTATTGCAAAAATCAAATTCCAAACGGACACCGAATTAGATGACTGGTTGGCCACGATCAATTTGGTTTGTGGTGATCTCCACACTATTAATGGTACAACTGGTATACCTGGTGCCCGGATCCTCTGTGTGACGAATAAAGGTTTGAACTTTTTATGTCAAAGAATATTATTAATTATAGTTTATATACAATATTAGGCGATCTCTATGTTGGCCACCAATTAAGTGCTGACAATATATTTTACTATCTCCTAAGTGGTGGTCATTTCAATTCAGTGACCGCTTGTTTGGGTGTTGTCTGGGCACTTTCGTACGACCATGTCTTGTTTGTTCATAATAATGGATCAGGAGGTGGAGTTTATAAAGACATCACTGGTGTTAACAGCAATTGCAATCCCATGTCAGATACGATGTCTTTTTACTGCTATGAAAATCAACGGTGGAACCCATTGTCGGGTTTTGCACCAAAAGGTAAAGTTTTTTAAATAAAACTAAACTATTTATGGAATACTAATTATATAAATGGTTTGAAGGACTGCCCACTGATCGGTATATGTGGAGCGATGAGACCGGAAAGCATGAGTTAATTAAAGACAACATCAAACTGCCGTCAAAACAGTGGCAATGGATTAATGACTGGTGCGTCGATTTCTCTCTGCCCGATGGCGTAGACTCGGAAGGCTGGCAGTACTCCATCGACTTTCCATTTGACTATCATTCGGATCGAAAGTTTACAGATTATGTCCGCAGAAGACGATGGTTTCGGAAGTGCCGATTCACGACTACCGGCCCCTGGACTGACATTCCCGGGGCCTCTATAATTAGTGCATCCATTTATTGTTCAAAATGTGATATCAAACCCAATGAAGAGGTAATACTCAACGCGTGGGCCGTTTCGGGAGACGGCGACGCTTTGTGTCGGTTAGGAGTGAGCCCTCTGTGTCCGCGCGGTCTCTCCTGGCAACACGTGTCGTGCGAACAGCCCTTTGTTGACATAAGTGTCGGTGGAAATGACACTTTCATTCAAGTTTGGGCCACAGCTAGGGATGGATCCGCGTTCTTAAGGCACGGAATCAGTCGCACGTCTCCGGCCGGCACCGTCTGGTTTCACATCGAGTCGCCCCGACCTCAATGTCCACTCAAACGGGTTTGTGTGGGAAAGTCGAGCGTCTGGGCCATCGATGAGAAGTTCAGACTTTGGTTTCGGGAAGAAATAGTTCCCACTTTTCCGGAGGGAACCCATTGGAAGAAAGTAGACGATTGTATCCATAAGATTAGTGTTAATAATTGCAACGAATTGTGGGCTATTGTCGGCACTCAACACAACGACTCAATTGTTTATAAAATTGCCAAAAGGATAGGCATTTGTGATGAACTCCGGGTCGGATCCGATTGGCAGATATTTAGCAAATATTTAAATTGTATACAATTCATTTGTGCCGCAAACGTTTTTAATGATTTATCTTAAAATCACTTAATTGTTATCTCTTTGTAATTATTTATTGAAAATTATAAATTGTATAATTTATATGCATTTGAAAGCAATTCTTTAATTTGCACTCAAATCTAAATGTTGTTTTGCTTTATAATGTTATCATTGTATTTGTTAAATATTTTTTGTATTTTCATATTTATGTCAATAATGTGTGTATTCCTTACGAATTCTTACTTAACAAAATATTCTTTCAATTCCTTTCACTGTTTATATTTTTATAATATACTTTTACGGACAAAATATTCGTAAATTTAATGCAAATTAAAATGTAATTTATTTAATTTACTTTTAGTATTTACTGCAATATTGTTAATCAATGAGATGCAAATTCATTAAAAGTTTCAAAATCCATTTTATATTCACAACACTTTCATGGCATAAATATTGCCATTACTTCCAACCAAATAATTCTCAACTGTTTTGGGATATCCGGGAATG